CTGTTAGCTGGCTTTTACTATATGCTAATATCTGGGCTGCTTTGTGTCTCAGCAGCACTGCTGTTCATTTGCTCTTTTCTGTGTCGGACTAGGGATCAAGTGCCCAAAAACAAATTGGACTCCAATAAGACCCTCAAACATGCCGAGTGTAGGCTGAAGAGGGATACAAACACAAAAACTACTAAATACAAGAACATGTCACAGGGAGACAAATGCTAACTAAAGAGATCTACACAGCAGGAAAAGAATTTTTCTACCCTGTGTGCAGCACAGAAACAACAGAGATACAACAAAGCATGGCAACAAAATGCCTTTAAAATCTGTTAGCCCTTTAAAAGCTGACCTCATGGACACTAAAGTATTTTATAAGCAAAAACTCAAAAACCAAACGGTCAAAATGTTAGAAGAGCTGGGGATATAGCTCAGTGGCACAGCACCTGCCTGGTAAGTATTAGGTTGTGAGTCTGATTCCTGGTACAAAAAAAAAAAAAAAAAAAAAAAAGTTTGAAAGAGTGTCCAAAGTAGAAATTTAAGTAACTTCATAAGGTGTTTGGTGAGCTTCAAGAAGATTTTATTAAAAAGATAAAGGATTTTATTAATGAAATGTTTGACAAAATTAAAGAAGAAACACTAAATTAATTGAGCTAAATATCAAAGAGTTGATTCTTTGAAAGAATAAATAAAATCGATAAGCCCCTAGCCAACATTATATAAAAAAGAGAAGAAAAAGCTCAAATTCATGCAATAGGGAGTGAAAAGGGCAAAATCACTACAGACTGTAGAAATACAGGAGATATGAATGACCAGTTGGTAGAGAATTAGAAATTATAAAAAAGCAAGCAGAAATACAAGCTATGAAAAATTAAACAATACATGGCTAGCAGTTTTGACCAATCTGAGGACAAGCTGTCAGAAATTGAGGATAGGGGGATGTAGTAGACCATAAATGTAATGATACCCTAAAGACAGACACTGTGAAAACTGGATCCAATACCTGCTAGATGAGTCAAAAAGAAACCAACATAGGAATAAAGGTGATATTAGAAGATCACTCAAAAATGCTAGTGAGTTTTTAGGAGAAAGAAATTCTTCTACATGGATGTTGGGAATATAAACTAGTACAACCAGTATGGGAATAAGTATGAAGATTCTTCAAAAAATTAAAAATAGAAATTCCAGTTGACCCAGTTATGCCTTTTCTGGGTGTCTTCCCCAAACAGTTAAAAGGAAAAAATTAAATTATACAACCATACCTATGTTTATACAACCACAACTCATGGAAATATCCTGTATGTTCATTCATCAATATATGAACAACAGATTAAGAATGTGGTGTACAGACACAGTGAGAAACTGCTCGGCTGTGAAGTAGGATAAATGTAAATTATTTGTAGGAAAATGGATGTACTTTGAGACCATAATGCTAAATCAGATGCTCAAGCTTAAATATTATATGGTTTTTCTTATATGGAAAATCCTTAAGTATGAGGAGCAAAATAAAAGATAGATGATAGGAAACAGGTGGATCTTGTGCACATGGGAGCAGGATGTGGGGGGTGGGGTGGGGAGCTGGGGAAGAGGATGTAAAAAGACTAAAATGAGCTATGTACCAGCTCCCGATGATGAATGTATTGATTATGTATTGCAAACGTACTAATACATCAAAACATAATACATTGAAAACTGAAGGTTATAACTTATCTGATCATTCAATAGATGCAGAAAATGTATTTGATAAAATTCAACATCCCTTCATGCTAACATTCCCGATCAAATTATATATATAAGAGTCATACTTCAAGGTAATAAAAACTGTATACGACAAACACACAGCCACCATCATACTGAATGGGGAAGAATTGAAAGCAAATAGGAAAAAGGTTTCTACTCTTGGTCAGTACAGTGTTAGAAGTGTTAATCAGAGCAGTTAAACAAAAAATAAAATACATACATACAAAGAGGAAAGGAGGAAGTCAAATTATGTTGGCAGTTGGTATGATTCGATACATAGAAAAGCTTGAAGTCTCCACTAAAATACTATCAGAACTGATTTAAAAAGTTATCAAAGTAGCATGTGTTAGGTACTTACTTATTCCTAAAACACAATACTCAACACCCATAACTTAAAGAAGGAAAGGTTTATTTTGGCTCGCAGTTTATAGACGTTTCAGTCCACAGTTAGCTGGTTCCAAGACAGGATGGCAAGGCAGAGGGGCCTGGCAGAAGAGAAGCAGCTCGTGGTATGGCAGACAGGAAGCAGAGAGAGATCACGGAAGGAAGAGAGGAGGGCTATAGACCCTTTAAGGTCACACTCCCAGAGACGGTCTCCTCCAACCAGGTGTACTCTGCCATCACATTTGGCTATCAATTCATCAGTGAACGAATTATGATAAGTATCTATGATCCAATCACCTCTAAAAAGCCTCATAAATGAGAAAGAGGCTTTGGGGAGATGCCAGACATAAACCATAACATAGGATACAAAATCCGCATACAAAAAAATCAGTAGCTTTTTAAAAAAAAATACATACACTAATTTTAAGACTAAAGCCTGAACTAAAACAGCATATTGCCAGAAAACCATACACATCTACAGCCAACTTATTCTGGACAAAGTTGACAGAAATAGAGTGGATAAAGAACAATCTCTTCAATAACCGTGCTGGGAAAACAGGACATCCACAGGTAGAGATGGGAACTGGATCCTGTCTCTCACTTCGTACACAAATCAGTGTCTCAAAGCCTAGAGAGAGGACCTGGAACTCTGAATTCTTAAAGAACTAGGAGAAAACATAAGAAAATACTTCTAGACTTGAAATTGGCAGTGATTTCCTGACAAGACCCCAAAGACACAGGAAAGAAAAGCAAAAATCGACAAGATTACAACAATCTAAAAAGATGCACAGCATGAGAACTGACAGAGTGAAGACACAATCTACAGTGTGGAAGAAAACATTTGCCAGCTGTTCATCTAATCAATTAAAATTCAAACTGTGTAACAAATTCAAAAATCTTAATTAAAAATCAATCCTATTAAAATGGGCAAATGAGTTGAATATACACTTCTCAAAATACAAATTGTCAAAATATTTTGAGAAAATGCTCAGCATCATTAGCTATCAGGAAAATGCAAATCAAAACAATGACAAAAAACCATATCCTTCCAGTTAGAATGGCTAGTATAAAAAAAAGAACAACTAAAAAAATGAAAAGTAATAAACAAAACAAAACAAAAAAACCCCAAATAACAAATGTTATCACAGATGTGTGGAAAAAAACCCTCTTATTTCTGGTTGATAGAAATGTAAATTAGTGTAGCCACTATGGAAACCAACATGGAGATGCCACAGGTAATATACCTTGTGATTCAGCTGGCTGACTTCTGGGCACATAGCCACAGAAAATGAAAATGGCCTACCAAAGTGATACCCGCACACCATATTTGTTAGGGAAGTTCTCACAATAGCTAAGGTACAGCATCTTAGGTGCCCATAACAGATAAGTGGATGAAGAAAAGGTGGTGTCTATAGACAATGGTGTATTAGTCAGCCATAACTAAGAGCGAAGTCCTTTCCCTTGCAGTAAACTGGTTGGAGCTGGGGGACCTTATGTAAGTGCAATGAGTAGACGCTGACAAGAGTTTGTTTTCTTTCACAGTTGGAAACTGGAAAAAGTTGACTTTAAAGTAGAATAGGGACTAGTAGAGTTTGGGAAGTGTGTTTGTGAGGGGGACATTAGATTTGGTCCCTGCTCTGTACTACCACACTGAGCCTCATTAATATGTGAAATTAACATAATTGAAAATGATGTAGAATCTTCTACTCCACAACATATTAGTTAGAAATTTAAAAGGAAAAGATTAGGCTATTGAACAATTAATTTTTCCTTTGTATTTGTTAAACTTGTTCCCAGATAATCCTAGGATTTATATCCCTGTTCAGGACAATCACTGTTTTCCCTGGTTCTGAGGTGTCCATTGTTCCTCACCTGTGTGCACTTGAAATCCCTCTTCCCTCTCACTCTCATGGTAACTCAGCGTGAACTGCTACTTTTATTCTTCTTCAAGACAGACCTCTAAGTCTCAAGAAGTTTTGGTTGCTGCATTTCAAACACCAACTGAATGTTGTAAACTGATGTGGAATAAGAGAAGCCTGTATTTTAGGATTTAAACTAGAGACTTCTTTTATAGAGAGCCCCTTCCTGGATCTTGTCACAGTCTGGGAAGTTTATATTTGTAGTTCCAGGAAAAGTTATTGGGATTTCAGCAAGTTAACTACAATCCACCACTTTCAGTGCAACCCAAATGAGAATAAAGACACTAGACATGTATATAGTTATGGGCAATCAAGGGGTCCTAAGTTCAGTCAGGATGAAGGTTCACTGGAACAAAGGCCACAAACCAGAGCCCAATCGGGGTTTTATTAATTTTCCATGAGGAGAGTGGCTTGAGGAGGAGAGACAATGAGAGTGGCAGGAAATATGTGAGCTGGGCTGGGTAGGAGGCCTGAGGTCACCTCTCTGATATAAGAGGGAAAGAAGTGCAGAGAGAGTAATCTGCGTAACACAACTGAGGTAGCATCTAATATTTGGGTTTGGTGCTTCAACTCTGATGTGTAATCTTTTCTGCCCTGGGAAGTCATAGCCTCTTGTCTTGATGCTAGGCCCCGATCAACAGCGTGAAGCTTGCTCTCCATCCTGCCCAGCTCACATGTTTTTTGAGGGAGTCACGGGTGGGTAACACTATTACCTTGCTTCAAAGACTACACATTGGATCGATTTACATTGCTTAAAGCCAATTGAAGGGATAAGGAAATAGCCCAGACTGCTCTGTACATATCAGTACTTGGAGATAGGGCCAGGTTTACCCAAAATGGAGATAGTTGCTCTTCTTTCAAGGCAGTTGTCCAGGAGGTTCCCCCATATTCTTTTACAAGCAGAAAGTTATAGAGTGATTTGAATTTATTTTTGTTGAAATACACTGCAACAAGAGATCATGAGTTCTATGTGCCAGCCTGGATACTGACCACTGAGAAGTAGATGCCTCTCTGTGCCAGCAGCTGCTGGTGGGTGCCCTGCTCCCTGACCTGGTTGTTCTGAATCACCAGGATGACGTCTCCACTGTGGATGGTGGCCAGGATGACGTCTCCACTGTGGATGGTGGCCAGGTATTATGCAATCATGAGGCAAGTGCAGCCTTTTCTGGCTTGGTCTAGGGCTTCCTGGACCACCTGCAGAGAAACTGGAGAACAGACCCAGCCTGAAAATTATATAAGTAGGTTTTTTTAAAAAAAATTTTGCTTTTGTCTTCTGAATGCTTGTTTTCAATGTATGAAAGTAAAACATGGTAATTTTAGAAAATTTGGAAGAAAACACAGAATAAATAACCACTGGCTAACATGTAATGCTTACCCTTCTCCCCCTGCCCTGAGTTCCCTTCTTTTGTTTTTCATGGCCAAGGACAGCAGCGGCAGCCTCTGGACACTGACTTGCTGATACAGTGGAGCCAAACCTTTTTACTCTCTGTGTCCAGCACTGAGGTAGCCTCGTCCAGCAGCAGAATTTGTGGCTGCCTGATCAGTGCCTAGGCAATTGCAATCCTCTGTTTCTGACCTCCTGAGAGTTGAGTGCCCTTGCCACCCATTCGAGTCTTGTATTTCTGCAGGGAACAAGGAAAGTTAGGGGGGCTCACAGCCAAAACAGTCCTTCATTATACAGTGCAGGGCCCTCCCTGCACAGCTGGTAGTTTCATTTGTAAGAAAATCATTCAGAGTCAAGACAAGGTTCAAAGTGTGTCAAGGCAGTGTACTCTTTAGATAACAAAAGGATCTATAACTTGAGAATAAAGAATGTGAATGAAGAAGCTGGGGTACAAACAAAGGAACTACAAAAGTTTGTCACAGAAATAATTAAGGAAAACTTCCCAAACATAAGAAAAGGAAATGATATTCTGATATATGAGGCATACAGAACTCCAGCCCACCTACAACCAAACCAGAGCTACACCCAGGCATATAATAATCAAGATCCCAGAAATTCAATATAAGAACAGAATATTAAAAGCTGTTAGAAACAAGAACCAGAAAACCTTAGAGGAATGCCCATCAGAATAACGGCAGACTTCTTGACACAAACCATCAAGTCAACAAGAGCCTGGAGCAAAATATTCCAAGCCCTGAAAGAAAATAACCTCCAGCCCAGATTGATATACCCTGCTAAACAGTCTCTAGAAATTAATGGAGAAACAAGAGGCTTCCAAGACAAAGAGGAACTTGGGAAATTCACAACCACCAGTCCAAGTCTACAGAGAATACTACGCAGGGCATTCTAGAGAGAGAGAAAAATATTAGGATTCCAGGAACAGTGACAGAGAGGCCTCAATGAATGGAGCAGAAAACAGAATGAAGAAGATAAGCAAATAACTGATGGTAAACAAGAGCATAACAGAAATGAGGCAGAGAAGACTTTATTCAACACTGATATGATTGATAATATCAAGTCTGAGAGTATAGGCAACTACACTGAAGATGGCAAGACTCTATGATACACATTCTGGTTTGATAACTGCCGGTTTTTGAAGTTCTATACTATATACAAAGTTGTGTTTTTATTAACACTGTTATGTACTTATATATTCAATTATACTATGTCTGATGATATAGACAATTCTATTGGAGATAACAAGAGACAACACAGGAACTATGGTAGAACTCTTTGTACAATGGTCTTATATATTTATCTTGTTTCATGTGTTTATAGGAATGTGTTTTGTTTTGCCATACTTTGTTTTGTTTCTCCCTCTAATATAGAAAGGATAGAAATACATGTTAAGACTCATGCATGTGTAGAATCTGTAAACAGTTTATGAGAACAGATCTCATGACACATGATGAAATTAACAGATACTTTGAAGAAAAAGAGACACTAAAATACCCAGTGCTAATCCTGGAGAGTCAAAATGTGAAACCCAGCTATAGTATTATTCTTTGTTCAGAGTGATATTAGCCTGCTTGGGTTTATTCAATGTCAGCATAGTTGAAAATATGGATAACTGCATGTATGTTTAAGTGTATAGGATTGATAACCATATTTTTCAGTTTTTGTTGGATAGCTGAACAGAATTGGTTGCAATCTCACTGTTTGAATCCCCACTTCATATGCTCCACTTTAGTATCTTGAATAACTATTTGTAAGAAGACAATCTATAATCATCAACTAGTGATTTCTTACTGTTTATTTTTTCTTTGAAATTATGTATTATTTCTACCCGTTTTGTGTTTTGTTTAGTCTTTCTTTAAATTAAATTTTTAAAAAGGCACTATAGTACCCAGTGCTGATCACAGAGTGTCATGATGTGAAATCCAGCAATACTATTATCTTTGTTCAGAATGATTTTAACCTGCTTTAATTTGTTTAATCTAAACATAAATGAAGATATGGATAACTGCATGTATGTTTAAGTGTATAGTGTTTAAGTGACAACCATGTTACTAAGTTTTTGTTGGACAGTTCAACAGAACTGTTTGCAGTCTGGCTGTTTGAATTCCCACTTTACATATTCCACTCTTGTACCTTGAACAACTATTTGTAAAACGACAATATGTAAACATCAACTAGTGATTTCTTACTGGTTTTTTTTTCTATGAATGTATGTATTATTTCTACCTATTTTCTGTTTTGCTTAGTCTTTCTTTAAAGAAAATTTCAGAAAAAGGAGGAAGTCAAGTTATCCTTGTTTGCATGATTCCATACACAGAGAAACAAAGGTCTTCACCAAGAGTATCAGACTTGATAAATCCTTAGTAACACACACACACACCCCTCCCCCAATTCAGTAGCTGTACTAAGAACCAATAGTTAATTGACTGAGAAAGAAATCATGAAAGCAATTCTATGCATGTTAACTATGATAACGGTGCTGGCATAAGGGGACATCTGCAGGCAGAAGACTCTCTCTCATTTTGTACACGAACTAACTCATGATGGCTCAGAGGCCAAGAGGAAGGACTGGGACTCTGAAGCCACTAGAAGAAAACACTGGGGAGAAACTTCAAGACAGTGGTGCAGGCAATACTTTTCTGGATAATACCCCAAACAATACAGGAAACAAAAGCAAAAGTAGACAGATGGAATTACACTGAATTAAAAAGATTCTGCATCACAAGGAAAACAACTGACAAGGTGAAGAGACAGCCCATAGAGTAGTAATATGTTTTTGCCAACCGGTCATCTGTCTAATCTGACAAGATAGGGAAGAACTCAAGAAGTTTAATTTAAAAATGGGCCATCCCGTGTTAAAATGGACCAATGATCTTAATAGGCATTTCTGAAAAGAAGAAATACAAATGACCATCAAATATGTGAAGCAACAACAAAATGCTGGTGAGAATGCAGAGAAAAAGGCTTCTTCTACACTGCTGGTAATTCTACAGACTAAGAAAAGCAGCACAACCTCAGGAAGCTGGCCTTAGACCGACCACACAATGTGAGGCCTACTCCTGGGTGTGAGTGCACAGCAGTGGGTCCCCAGATTAAAGGGGCACCTATGAGCGCACACTTATTGGGCAGCCTACACAGTAGCTTGGTATCAACAAAAGATGAAAGGTGGGGAAGGTGCTCCATCCTTGCTCAGGCCATGGTTTGGCTGCTGATAAGTGGCACACTGTTTATCCCTCTTCTGAGTCCATGGGCATCATCAACTTCCTTTCCCACTCATTAGCACATGTTAGTGAGCCATATTGATCACCTTCAGCTCAGGGTTTGACAGGGACACAGATCTGACCATGGTCGCTCCCTGCCTGGCCACTCTCCCCTCACTCCGTCACCTCCCCTCCCCCCATTATTTATTTCACCTACATTCTACATGATGGTGAAACTCACTGTGCTTTGCTGGAGTTACACACACAGCTGTAGTTACACTTTATGATTATTTTCGCAAGCTCAAAGTACAAAGAGCGCAACCTCTAATCTGGGCTTCAATTCTCCCTTCAGTTATGTTAGTTTTAGAAGTGATTCATCCCAAGAGGCATCTATTTTATGGTGTGTACCACAGAGATAATCACTGTTATGCAGAACAGTTTTGTGAACTGAGCACAGTGAAACAACACAGATGCTGAGCTCACAGTGGCTGTGCAAATATTTCTAGTATCCCTACTCCAAGCTACAACTGATGACTCAAATGTTTAAGCCCCTGATGCAAACATAGCTGTTGTATCAAAAACACCCAGGGTGTCACAGAAGTAAAGCTTGAAACATCTCACTGCAATAGCTTTTGCTATCATGACCTGGTCTCCTATGATTAGATGTGTTTCTCAAAACTTGGACTATTACATTTATGTAATGCATGCCAGAAATCCTTCCCCAAGTGAGAGCCTACTGGCCCTGGGTATAGTTTGTTTAGCACAATTTCTAATCAGGTGCCATGCTATACTTTTATTAGGCTTCTAAACCCACCAAAAGGTTCATAATTTATTTACTCTCAAATCAGAAGGAAGATAATTGACAAGAAAAAAATCAGCATTACTCATTTGGATACTGTAACTTGGGTGCTGTGACCATAGTTTCACAATACTCACCATTACTGAACAATTTACAAGGCAACTGAATCTTTAAATTATGCCAAGTTTATTATTTGCTTCAGCTTTTGATTTCTCATGAATTCTTTAAAGTTCAAAATAAGCCATAAAGTCACACGTGATGGCATATGTACACACACACCCATAGCAAAGAGAAAATAAAGAAAATAAGAGTTTGAGTGCTTCTCTCATCCTACACACCAGATGGCGTGTGCTGCCTGCACCAGTGATCAGCTCCTACGGAATCCTCCGTAGCCTTAGCCTTTATGAACCTAATCTTACTTCTTATTGCATTTTATTCACTCCTTTTAAAATAAGTGATACAGATTAATGAGTTTATTATAACAGATCAGATAACACATGCACAACCCTTACTTGGACAACCCTTACTGCTTTGCAGACAGACAGATGTGTACTCTATGATTTTGTTCACATCTAATCTCTCTACCTTCTACGGCCCTGCTCCTTTCCCTTCTTCTATATATTTTAAAAAAGAGATGAAAATGTCTAGCCCTGTGGTTATTTTCAATATGATAACTACTGTGAAAGGATGACCTCGTAGCCATATTATTTGTGCAGAAGTTTTATTATCTTTGGGGAACATAATTCCACCCTGGGAAACCTCTGTGTTCTCAGCAATCATACCCATCACCAGTCAGGCCCATCCATTTGTCAACATACATTGATTCAAATTTTCTTTCCTGGGTTAAGGATACAACTGTCCTAATGTTTTCTATTGCTTCAGTTGCAATCTAAAATGGAACAGACCTTCATTAGAAGTGGCTTTTTAATTTCTGAAATGATAAAGAATGTTAAGACTTAGGGCTCTCTCAGAAGTATTTTGAAAGAGCTGGGCAGGGTGATGCATGCTTATAACCTTGAACTCTCGGAGCCTAAAGCAGGAGAATCAACGAGTTCAGTCCCAGCCTGGGCAATTTAGGGACATATTGAGACCCTGCTTCACAATAAAAAATTTTTATAAGAACAAGTCAGGGATGCAGCTCAGTGAAAAGTCCCTGGATTCAATCCCCAATATGGCCAAAGGAGAGAAAACAGTATCCTGAAGTTTCTGTTGATGGCTTTTAGGTTTCTTCAGTTAGAATCAAAAAGTA